TTAGCATATTCCACATCTGATATAAATAAGTAAGGTGACCATTCACAAAACAAATATAAATCATGGCCCATTACAGAATGAGAAGAATTACAGACAGTAACAGAAATTGGAAGGTAGGTCTAAGAAGAACTGGAAATCTTCTAATGCTTCATTAATCATGTTTTAAAACATCAAAGCATCCAGGAAGAAAAAGGGTGGTGGTTTTATGGAGAAAGATGTGGCTTTTTACTACCCCACATGGAACACAGTGAATTTATTTGAGGAAAGCAAGCTGACAATTTACACTCTAGACAAAAGGTAGAGGTTTCTAACCTAAAAAAACAGTATTCTGGATAAGAATCAAAACACTTATTTCTAACAAAATCAATTGTTTAATCTTTGTGGGAATAAGTTCATTCTTGCCATCATTATGCAAACTAGTTCAATTTAAGTCAAAGGAATGGCAAAAGTTATTTATCAAAACATTATTTTTAATCATATTCCATGTAAACATAATACTCATTTCATCACATATTATTATGCATGAAAACTATTTTTAAGAATTTTCTTGTTATGGTTATAATGACCCTCCTACATAATTCCTACTGTAAATACTTTTAAAGCAATAAGAATTATGAAAAAGGGGCATGAACAGGATCACGAGAAAAAGATGTAGAAAAAGACAGTAAACTCTTTTAAGAAACTGACGCATACATGGCAACATGCACTAAAATCTTCAACCAAACATTACAAAGGCAAAATGGCAGGAGTGACAAATTGGGTGGCAGGGGGAGTAATTTAATCAAATCTAATTCAGGGTTGGCAAATCTGTTCTGTAAAGTGCTAGGAAGCAAATATTTAGGCTGTGCAGGCTATGTCATCTGTCACCTGTATTCAACTCTGATGTTATAGGGGAAAGTAGCCAGACATACCTACACTAACAGGTGTGGTCTTATTCACGAATAATTTTATTTACACAAACAGGTGGCCTCAGGATTTGGCCTAGGGGCTGAAGTTTGCCAAGCCCTGACCTAATGCATAAGTCCTAGATATATATATATATATATATATATATATATATATACTTTACTAAGGGGCATCTTCTCAAAAGTATGTAGTATTTGGCTCACTAAGTTAAACTTGTCCCTTTTCTAAATCTCAGCAACAGTATACTTCAATATTTTGCACTTTTTCCCATGGCATAAGAGGCCCATTTTTAAAGAGTGAGTTTAATAAAGACTCATCTATTATACCTTGAACAAGTACCCAGATAAGAGGAAAGGCCTTTGAGGACAAGGGGGGAAAAATGACATCTGTTGTGTACAAAAAAAAGAAGAATTTCCAGAACTCCAACTCCTTCCTAATTAAAAGCTTTTCCACTATGATTAAAGATACTTTTGTTGTTCAATTTAATTTCCTTTCCATTATCCATTGCTTACATTTCTTTAAATTAGATCTAGTCAAACAAAATGTAGTTTCACCATTTAAAAGAAACAATTAGTGTCAAGTAACAGCTAAAACTTTTAAAAAGTTATTTCTTGACCAAAGATTATTTAGCTATTAAGGATGAAGTTCACTATTTCAATCCTCCACCAACCCATTTCCAACCAAGGCCAGACTTCATCTATTAAGATCAGAGAAAACAGTCTACCTCTACTGTCATAACATCTTTGAAAACCCATTTCATTGATGTACAGAAAACTAGAAACATCAAAAAATACAAAACAAAAAACAGTAACAAGAAAATTTCCCTTAACTGGTATTTTCTTTCTTTTCCAACTCTATCCTTTACCAACTATTTTGTTTTTATATAGTCAAGATTAGATTCAACACTCTAATATAATAAGATGGCTTGGAGTAGTTTACAACTTACACAAAATAAAAGTCAACTAAATTCAGAGGTAAATATGGTTCTGAATAAAGCAAGAATAAGTCATTAGAAAGAGCCTTTTTGCCTAAGTACAGTGTTACCATTCACACCAATGCTATATTTTATACCAGTAATAAGATCAGAGTTCAGAGAGAATAAAAGGTGCACCTGGGAATGAAAACAGATTAACATACTGTCATCTCTCCTCTTTTGCTGAGAATACTGGGTAGTTCCTTTGCTATTAAGTGCCACTCAATGAATGAGAACACTCCCCAGTGCTTACAACTCTATGGCATTAAACTATGTAATGATTTCGCTGTCATTGCTAATGTAACCCCCTTCACAAGGTGACACGTGCAAGTTAAGATTTGGTAATGAGTTTTCAGCATCGGCTTAAGCCCATCTTTAAGAGAGGTATACTCTGTGCACACATCAATATAGGTATTCATTGATGTAGATAAAACACTACTAACTCCTATGACACTATAGTGATGTTAGCTAAGAACTAGGGCAATGTCACAGTGAACCTGGATAAAAATCTTGGATAGTTATTTAGAATAATAGTATCTCTTCTAACTAAAACAGGGAAATTACTTTCAGAAACTTTAATTTGTTTAAAAGCTAGCCTGGCTTAAATCTTCATGAACTCCATGGCTCCGGCTAGGCAATTAAGAGGAGAGAACCAGCAAACATAATTATGTTGATGTGGTCCTAGAGGACTGGGAAGAACTCTATTCACAGTATCAATACCAGAAAAACTTATTAGAAGTGAATGAAAAGCAAGGGGGGAACCCACCGAACACTCATGGCATTTCCACATGAATTAGACAGTCGTTCTTCATTTAAGACATTTGTTGCTATTCCTGGATGGAGTACTGATGAATGCTGCAAAGTTTCTCTTTATAGAAATTACTGCACTTCATCTTTACAATTTGGTAATAGTTTAAAAAGCTGTATTTTCTCACATATAATCTTCTAAGAAAGTAACAAAGCAATAAAGGACTTTTCAGCACACTATTTCTCAAAAGTAGGATGGACTTAAAATATTTTTGGTAGGCTTAAAAGCTCCATTCAAAGCAGCATATTCTATACTTCTCACCTGCATGCCTTTTCCTTAGTGGCAAAATCTGACCACTGAGAGCCTTGAGGACCAGCTGAAAGTTTCCCTAAGGATTTTAGTCTAATTTCAGTTCCATCTTTTTTATGCCACAGAGCACAGCTGGTCCACAGGATGGCTTTTGAGGACAGTTTTACTCTTTCATGCTGTTGCCCAACAAAAGAAGAGGATGACCTAGTCTCCGTCTCTTAAAGACGAAATGCAGCCCCAGCACTAGCTTTAAGAGTAGACTCTACGATACCCTTTGCATTCTAACATACTAAAGAAATGTCACTCTTTTCTACTCAACTCTGCACATACCATAAAACAGTCTCAGGAAGAGTGTACATCTAGCATTCTCACAAATGGCTCACACTGCAGGCATGACCAGCCCCTCGCCCAATTTTCTTTTACAATCATTTCTGCCTCTGCATCAAAATAATTTCTTAAACCACTACATATTTAAATGCTCTCTTAAAAAATCAACAGTCTAGAGAAGCTAGGGTTTTTCTCTTCTATTTGCACTGAAAATTGTAAGCATCAACTTGCCTGCATCCCTTAATATTCCTCCTTCTCCCTCTGAATGCAAGCCAGGACATCCGAAGCTCTACATGTTTGGTTCTTTCTGACTCTCAGTGTTGGAGTAAGAATCTCAGAAGTACCTAGAATTACCAAAAAGATCCCTTGAAGTTTAAAAAATCTTAGGAATGAACAAGTAACCAAATCTGATCAAAACTGATCCCTTGGTCATTTATTGCAACATGATTGTGCATGATGTTTTCTGGTAAATGCCCTGTAGCGTATTATTAAAAAGCAAAGCTCTTGGAGTCATCAGCAATTTGCTGATGGTTGGTTTATGAATCACTGGGTTTGCAGGCCCAAGACACAGATTCAGCGAGGTTCTTCTACTGGACAGAAAATATAAATTATAACATGTAGAAGGAAATGGAATTGTGGTTGCAATAAGAACCATACCGTTGAATTTCTTCAACCTGAATATTGCAGAAAAAACGTGTGTTTAAATTTAACACTTCATATAAAAGTTATCAAATATGGAGACCCGTGGATTTAAAAATACAATCCAGGCTCACTGAACTGGAAATGACATTTCTGATGGACAATATTGCTATTATGTGAAACTAGGAGCTGAAGAAACAGGATGAAACTTTGGTAGTAAGCCTAACACATTACTTTATCTTGACTAGAGCCATTTCCTAACACTGAAAGATGTCTGAGCACTATGGTTTATAAGTGCCAGCCAGGAAGTTGCAGTATGGCTCTGTACTGTTCAACATTTGCAAAAGAGAAAAATACTTCTCTGTTCCCCTCTTCCTCAACACAACACTCAAGTCCCCAAATGTAGCAGTACCTATTGCACTCTGCTGTTCATTTCACTTCCAGTAGCCTAAAGCGCTTCAGGTGACGCTGCCTGCTAGAATACTGCTCCAAGATGGCTGCTTACATGAAACAATCAGGCAAGATATTAGATGCCCAGCCAGGGCAAAGATAAAGTCTAACATATCCAAATAATAAAGACCATCAGGATTAATTTCTTTCTTGAAATAGGCAGGGAAGAAAGAGGAGAACCTCCTCCTCATTATCACCATCATGACTACCTCTTTCTCTCCTATGGCTGACTGGTTCAGATGACAAAGGCTCCTGTTGCACTTTTTTTTAGATCTGGGCAATTACAGCCATCAAGATGATATGGACCAAAGTAGAGTGTTCAAATATGACTGTTAGATAAATAACCATTTATCATTGTTTTGTTAAAAAATTTTTCTTCTTATAAAGTTAACAAACCAAGGCTGTTGATCCCTGAATTAGAAAGATGATTTGCTTGACTATTTTCCGAAGTGTGAGGTGGAAAGAAGAAAGGGAAGAGCCTTTAGTGCTTTTGTGTATGTTGCTGATCCTCTAGTTTGGCAACAACTTGGAAGCTTCTTCCAGTCTAGTGATGTGGCATTTTGTGAATCTAAGTATCAGCCCATGGCCCTGATGCTGGCTGCTTATGGCCCAAAAGGGAGGTGGGTCTGGCCCCTCCCCCTTGATGTTTCAATCTGGCCCAGTGGTGGACACAGAGCCCTGGGATGTTTCCCCAGGGGCAACTGTCTCTTCCCGTGAAGGTGATTCTTCCTCGGCTTGTCCTCGAGATGTGACAGTTGTTTCAGGGGAGATGCTGTGAGGCCCCTCCAGGGGTATACAGCCAGGGTGGTTTTTGCGAAAGTGCTGATTCAAGATGGCCTGGAAGGGGAAACTTTTGCCACAAACATGACAATGAAAGGGCTTGTTGCCTGTGTGCTTGCGGATGTGATACTCGAGCTGATCTTTCCGGGTATACTTTTTGCCACACATGCGGCAGACAAATGGTGTGATACCCATGTGCAGGCGCATGTGGCGGTCCAGGCTTCCCTTCTGATTGAAAGATTTGGCGCAGTAGATGCAGGTAAGACGAGGGTTGTAGCGAAACCACCGCTCAGATACTTCTTGCTCTCGGAGGTATTCCACATAGCCACTTACTCCCATCATTGTTGACTCTTCCACCTGTGCCAGGTGAGGAAAAGAAAAAAGAATATATATTGCTAAGCATACATGTTAAAGGAAACGTAATATACATTTTTACTTCTGTTAATAACCTATATGCTTATTTTTAGTGAAGAACCAAACCATAAATTTACCACCAAGATGTAACGCTGTTATCATTAAAAAAAAAAAAAACAAAAAACTAAGGACACTACATAAAATCACCATAAACAAGACAGTAAAGGTACTTTCTGGCTGATAAACGAACTGGATGCTTATGAACTTTTAACAGGTGTGCTATTTTACAGAGGTCAGAAAATCAAAATGCATTTATCATCATCTTGGACCCTAATTTTTTAATTATATTTGAGACAAGTGATGATAAAAATGTTCTATAATCTGCCATACAGTACGGCAGCCACTAGCCACATGTGGCTAGTGAGCGCTTGTAACATGGGTAGTGTAATTGAAGAACTAAAATTTTCCTTTTTAAAAAAGAAAACAAAAAAGCACTTTTCATTGTGGAAAATTTCAAATAGACTCAAGAGCAGAAAAAACAATATAATGAAAACCCTTGTACCCATCATCCAACCTCCACAATTATCAGTTCATGGCCAGTCTTGTCCCATTGTTTCCCCTAAGCACTTTCTCCCTTCCCATTTCATTCTGAAGCAAATTCCAGATATCATTCCATTTATTCCATTATTATTTCAGTATGTATCTCTTTAAGAACTCTTAAGAATATATAACCAACATACATTATCACATCTAAAAAACTAACTAAGAACTCCTTTTAAATCATCAAATAACCAGTTAGTGCTCATATTCCTAGCTGCCTTGTAAATACATAGTTTTTGAGAGTTCCTTTCACTGAATCAGGATCTAAAGTCCACAGATTACAATTGGTTGATATGTCTTATTCAAACTCACAGCCACCCTATAGGACAGGTAGAGCTGCCCATGGCAGTAATCCAATTCCAAGACTGCAATCAGTACTGAAGCAGACTGTCACATCTTTCTCCCACAGAGTGGCTGGTGGGTTCTAATTACTGACCTTTTGGTTAGCAGATGAAGGCTTAACCACTGCATCCTATGTCTTAACAAGTTGTTGCCAAGTCAATTCTAATTCATGACAATCCCATATGCTGCAAAATAGAACTGCTCCATAGAGTTTTCAAGGCCTTTACTGTTTTTTTTTTTAAATATATATGTATTTTTTATTTTTGCAGTGTTCACTCCCCTCCCCTCCCCTCCTACCCTGAGAAGTTTCCTTCCATAAATAAACCTTTCCCTGACTTTTTACAATAATGAACTAATACAGTTCATTCTTCTGTGATTGACTTATTTCACTCAGCATAATGTGCTCCAAGTTCATCCACGTTATGTGGTGTTTTGCAGATTCTACATTATTCTTTAGTATTGCATAATATTCTACTGTGTGTATGTACTATAGTTTGATCATCCATTCTTCTGATAATGGGCACCTCGGTTGCTTCTCTCTTTGTTATTGTGCAGTGAACACGGGTGTGCATATATCTGTTCTTGTCCTGGCTCTCACTTCTTTGGAACTAAATTTTTCATTAATTACTTTTAATTAATTAAAAAAAAAAAACTGCAGTAGTTCTATGTGGCTAATGGCTATTACACTGGACCATACAGACAAGAGAATACAAAATGGCAAGCACATTAAAAAGAGTATTTATGACATTATCAGTACTGATTTTAATCCAGGAATAATTAGCTTTATAAAAGATATTTAATTTGCACACATCATTCCTTTTCATCCAAAAATATTTTAGTACCATACTAACATATCACCTTCACTTTATAGACTACTTACTCAAAGTTTAACTGATTTCAGAGCAAACTGACAAAAAAGCTGGGAAAGGAAACTATGCTAAGAGATGAATTTATTAACTAGGTTATTCTTTCCATAAATTGATAATCATTAAGTATTAACTAATATGGTGGTTTAGTGGTTAAGGCATCTGGCTGCTAACCAAAAGGTTGTTGGTTTGAACCCACCAGCTGCTCTGCACAGGAAAGATGAGGCAGTCTGGTTCTGTAAAGATTTATAGCCTTGGAAACCCTATGGGACAGTTCTACTCTGTTCTATAAGGTTGCTAAGAGTAGAAATTGACTAGATGGCAGTTGGTTTGTTTTTTGTTTCTTTGAACACCATTACCCACCAAATACAATGTTAGATGCCACAGAGAAAATACAAGACTTGGTTGCTTCTGATCTTGCCCTTTGTAATCTTGCAGACATATTGTCAGCTCATTATATACACATTATATGTAGTAGTTTTGAGCTGATTTAAGCAGCTTATAAAAGTAAGTAATATAATCTCTGTTTTATATATTACTTCTATAATCTCCTTTAGTTTATAAATTATGTCCTTTCCCCTCACCCCAAGTTAAATAAACTTCTTATGTTGTGATAATAAATTTATTTAAAACATTAAAAAAGCAATTATGATAAAAGCAGCACTGGAATGCTTCTACTCTTAAGTTAGATAATTAACACTTTAAGTTATTGAAAAATAACTGTCTTCCTTTGTCTCTGTTGCATACATAATTAATAAAACAAATACTTAAAACATATTTTTAAACTATTTTATTATTAAAAACGTTAGAACAATACTATACAAAACATTGTTCCACCTACTACTTTGGCGAGTAGCGACTGGAACCTTAAAAGCTAGGAAGCTGCCATCTAGATGCAACAACGGGTCTCTCCTCGT